TTATGCACGTTAATGAGGTCAAACTCGTGCTTACCTCCTACTGCTCCTCCACCTCGGCGGCCAGTCCCAGTAATTGGGTAATTCGCGTGGGCGCGAAATCGTGCGTGCGCTCCAGAAAGGCGTCCAAAGGATCCGGCCGAAATTGACGACAAGAAGATCAGAAGTGAGGAGCTCGAGTTGGTTGTGTGGTACCAGTTGACGGAGAGAGCAAGTCGCTGGAAAGGGTAGGGAGGCAGGTACACAACGACAGAGAGTGAGATGGGAGGACAGACAGGGCACGTGTGCTGACTGATTACAGCTAGACGCTGATGTTGACACAAGTGGCCTGCGGACGTGCGCACGTATGTGCGTGCGTGCATGCGTCTATAGCACGCGCATTTGGACGCGCATAAAATGGCTCGGCGACCAACCAGCAAATGTCCATGCCCCATCTCCCCCTCCCTTGGTGTAGCCACCACAGCGATTGAGAAAAGCCGACCCGATCGACGGACACGGACTACACAGAGCCCACCGCCGCGTTGTCTCTCTCTCACACGCTCCCCTTACATCAGTCCCTTCTTTTCCGCGTCTCCCCCCTTCTCCAGAGGTAACGAAATATCTGTCTCACTTGGGTGAGTCAGGATTCCCAGCTGTACCTCCCTTTACTACCGCCCTCCAGCGGCTGCGCGTAGAGCGACAGGGGGGGGGGAGAGATGGCTGCGCGTTCTGCGACAGGCACGCACATACCCACGCACGATGCGCTACGCATGTACCAATTGGCCGCAGCGCGCACTGACGTCTGAACCAATCAACTCAGTGCAAAGGGATTTTACCACTCACGCGTAAGCGCCCTACACACGCGTACACCGCATCCACCGACGCTGGTGTCATACTCTGGGGCGCATTGCAGTGTCACGAAGGGCGCACAGTTTCGTCAAACCAGTGTCTGGACACGGGGCCAGTGTTGCGCAAACCAGCTGCGCAGTGTTGTTGCCTCCATCACTGGCTGGACGGCAGGACCGGCGGTGGTGGTGGTGTCGGCGGCGACGACGACGACAAGGTGACTAGACTGTCTGATCAGCGCAGTTAAAAAATTACCGACTTATGCCGGCCGGAGTCCGCGCTGTGTGCTTGTGTGTGAGTGTGCAATTCACTCAGTGTTGTAATGATAGAGCTGCGGGGCGCGCCGTTAGGTTCACGCGTCCCCGTGCTAACGTGGGTTCTATAAATCGGGCATGAATTCAGAGCAGTCCCGAGTAATCGGAAACCACAAAATTTAGTTCACTGGCACGCCAGTTGATCAAAAGGTCCCTTAGAGTGCTTCAGTTCTTTGCGGAGACAAACTCTTTTCACGTGAAGATATGCAATCCAACTTTGCCCTTCTCCCCTCCCCAGGATGTAAATCTTCACATCTATCAACAAAACGTGCGGCGAGGTTTGGTCCTGAAGTCCCAAATGAGTGACATAATATGCTCAGCTTTCTAAAAAAATTTGTTAGATGTGATTAAGCCGACTTTACAAATATCGCGTATTTGCATTTTCCTTACCATTTTAATCCAGCGAGTGACTCTGCCACGGGAGGAGTGCTTATGCGCCAGCCTCGGTTACTTCAAGTATCAGTTCACACGCGCTTCTCTACTCGTGTTTCGAGCCCTGTTTGCGCCCTCTTTATCATCTTAATCCAGAAAATTACCACGCGGTTCCCACAGTGGCCTTCCAGTTGTGATTGCGTCCTCTTTATCCTCTTAGTCCAACAAGTGGCTGTGTCGGGAGGGGGAGGGGGGGGAGTGTGTACATGCCACCTTCACTCGCTTCCCTGCGCGGGCTTCGAGCTCTGCTTGTGCTCTCTTTCCCTTCTTAATCCAACGAGTGGCAAAGTCAGGTATGCTAAATAGTATTGTTTCAGTAAGCTAACCATATGATGCCAAAATATCTATGAATTACGTGAGCCTGGCAGTCATCTGGTGGATTCTAGGTGAATTACTTAGGAAATCCTGCTTGGGCAGTCAACTTACTGCATCATATTTGGTGGATTCCAGGCGTTGCAGTAGGTTGGGCTGGTACCTTGACCCAAATGTGATTAAACTCGCGTCGTCCGGCGGGGCCTCGTAGCTCAAGTGGTTAGGGCGTTGGCTGTACTAAAGCCTTCCCCTTACTGCGTGCGTTCGAATCCCACTCAGTCGCCGAGTTTTTCACAGTTGGATCAATATGGATCATTGAAAATCTTCCAAAATATCTATGACATACGGTGTTAATCAAGTGGAGCTGCAGAACCAGACCTCGCCAAAGGTGTATTTTTAAAGTACACTTTAGGATTTAACTCGAACATACCTGCCCACACCTGAGAAGTCTGCATTTGGTCATCGATCTCGACAGTATCTTTACCATTTTCCTGGACTACAGCAGTTCAGCCGACGCTTGGCCATCTATTCCGAAAATTATGCTGTTGGAAAAATGCACCGCCTTATTTTCCTGGTGGCAGAAAACGAAAACGAAAATGTGACAACTTTACATGGCGATAAAACGGTGATTTACTTCGGTTGATATGGTCCACAATTTGCTCATACCGGTGTACGGTTAAAGGGGCAAATGTAAATACTTGAGTGCTTCACGCCCTAGTGGGAGATCTGCGGGATGCTAGCTCTCGATCGAGCCTCTTTTGGCCCTCTGCATAAAATACACTCTGTAAAAATGACTATTTTAGCAGTACTAGTCTTTATTGTGGATTTCCAGGTTCTTTATGAATTCAAATAAACGATATAGAAAAAATGCGAACAAATTCGTTATTTACTCTTTGGGTAGCAAATTGCGTCTTCTTTAAATTTTTGATTGTATAAAGATTATTTTTCGATTTAAAAAATTTTAATGGCGAGATTTTTTACGGCATGAAATGTCTATTCGTAGGACATAATATGTCCGCATTTTTCCGCGTTGCTTGTAAAGCATACATTAGGTTTTAAATTCGCTGCAAAATTTCATTAACCTCACGCAGTATATTTTTAAGAGAGTATGGAAATGTATGATTTTACTTGCATGGAAAATATACAACTTGCGGTTTGGAAACCCTAAATACAGGTCTAACGCGGGCCGTGTTCAAAAGTACTTGGGAATTGAAAAAAATTTAAAAGCCGAATTATGCTCTTCCTTTAAGTATAAAAACTGAAGAGGACGTAATTGTCTACCAAGCGAGAAAGGAATGAATTTTTGTGCATGTTTCCCGTAAAATATATTTGCATATAGGGGGGGGTATTGAAAGTCAATGATAAAAGGTCATACTACATTTGTGGTGACTTTTTAAAGAATGCAGTTTTTGCAGACGGCTGAAAAGAAGCCCATTCCACAGCCAGCATCCCGACATGACTAAAATAACTTGGTATTATGCTTTATGATAAGTAATACAACAAATGCACTTGGGTAATCTTTTGGAGTCGGAAACGCATTTCAGAATTTAGGTTAACATTTCATGCGATAATAGATTGTTGACTTTGCCCGACTCTCCTTGCGATACGCTTTCCAGATCAGGGTCGAAGTGTTAATAACTTCTGCTAGTTTTAACGCCGCCTTGCTAATAGCTACTTTAATGGACCTAGTGTTTCAGTCGCGCCGAATGGAGTTTTTCTTATGCGCCAGGAACCGGTGTGCAATTACGCGGTGCTATTTTCAACATCCTAATTGTTGCGATCTACGTCGCTGTGCTAACCGTCGATAGTACGCAGAGGAAAGTTTTACGACAGACTGCTGGCAGGCGTGTGCGTTTGACGTTTAGTTGTTGCGGGGAGTCACTACGTAAGGACAGCGAAGTGTGATGCAATTACAAGTGTGAGAGCGTTGCGCAGATCATGGATGGTTTGTCAGTCTTGGTCGTTGAGCAGCCTATCATCTACTCTGATCGTTTCCACTTTCACCACAACATATGAGGGCTAGGGCATCTGTGATGCTTTCGACCGGGGTTGAGAGGAGGGAGGGGGGAGGGCCGTTAATTGGTACGTCTTGCTTGACTAGAGCCTCGAGCACCGCCACTATTAACTGCAGTCCTTTCTCAGCTGTTTCATGGGCATTACTTCCTCTTCTGACTCTGCCCTTTGTAAGTTGCCGTGTTCGACCATGCTGCATGGTGGTACATCATAGAAATCACTTCCTTTGGCACAAGCCTACAATCCCCAGACGCACGTGAATGGCAAAACGAGTGATTTACTTGATGTCACTTCCGGCGTCCATTTGGGGTATTTTGTCTCATGAACTCTCTTCGAGTACGCGGAAAGCCAGTTTACACAGCACGCCCCTGGTAGACCACCCAATGTCACACAGGGTCTTCATCTGTTTATCCTTGGCTCTGACTGCTTTAATGCTACTGCAGATCTGATAAGGTGTCAGAATTAAAGCCAACATTGCGTACGATAGTTATAATGGTATATTTCAGGAATATATGGCAAATTATCTCGGGCAAGCCCACACAGACAGAAGGGATTGAGAGAGCAGCTATTTCAGATTATTTGTTGCTTTCCTCTGCCAGCAGTGCCGACTAGCCTCCGTCACCGGACTCGTGACCAATATCACCGGAAAAGAAGGTTCGTCTGCTCTGGAGATGTCAAGTGGATCGGTGTGAAGCCAATCCAGCGTGAACAAGTGCCCGTTCGACACTCTAGCAAGGACTGATTAAAACTCGGCTTTGGTATCCAACGCCTCGGTCTATCTTCCTGTCCACCACCAGCTGAAAGTGTTGATCGGAGGTTTGACTGACGCAATGAGACAACACTAGACTTGAAACAGTTGCTGTATCTGTCCGTCATACCTTTGTAAACATTCGTTTTATGGTATGGCGGGTGGCTGTCCGTTCGCGACTTTTACTACTCCCAGCCAAATGTGCCCCATTCCAAGGAAGATAAGGTGATGAAAACCACAAAAATCGTGATAAAGACGGTAACTTTGTAGCAGGTGGGCAGGTGAGTGTCGATGTTGGTGCTATTATTATTATTATTATTGCCAGCAGCAGCAGCAGCAGCAGCAGCAGCAGCAGCAGCAGCAGCAGCAGCAGCAGCAGCAGCAGCAGCAGCAGCAGCAGCAGCAGCAGCAGCAGCAGCAGCAGCAGCAGCAGCAGCAGCAGCAGCATTGTATTCAGGACTAGGTAAAAGATCATGTTTAAATAACTGGTTTTTACGTGGATTGAGAGACAAAAAATTGTTCAAAATCCTTTGCCCAGGTCTACAAAATGTTCGCTTAACGTATACTCAATCCTTCTTTGTCGTTAAGAGGGTTTTATTTTAATTGTGACTTTACAGGCGCCGACCACTGATTTAAAATGGCCCCAAAATACCCATGTAGGGGAGCATTAAGTCTTCCAGTACAGGTGAGGGTCATAGAAACTACTGAGAGTTGATAATAAATCTTGGCATCCTTGCAGGGAAGTGCCAAGTACAGCATCACCTGCCCTCTCATAGCCCGATCGCACCGCACTCACGTGCACCTGCGCGTCGAGAGAACCACAGCCATTCCACATGAGGCGTAGCGGGGTCACTAAAGTGTCCCCGCCACTCTCCCCTGACTTCGACAACTCAAAGTCAATCGCCGCACCCCAGATGTGGACACTGGGTGAAACTGGCGACAGGAACTACCAGCAGGCCCCCCCCCCGCCCCCCATTCTCATCAGTACTCCCACCACTAAAACCGAGACCACACGAGCACCAATACGACTAAATTCAAGTGTGGGTCTGCGTACAACTCTGAGGGCAAAATTGGGCGCGTAGCCTTCCCTTCATGCTGTCGCCTCCTCCTCCTCCTTCCCGCCCCACCTAGGACAGGGTCTCCACGCGGTGCTAGCGGGAAAAAAACGAGCTTAGCAGATGGCGGAGCGGGGGCGGGGGCCGGAACGAATGGACGGTGGAAGGCGGGGGGTGGGTGCCCAAAATGCGAATTGTCCCTTCTCCCACCTCGCTCCTCCCTCCGTCCACCTCCCCTACTCGAGATTCACATGCGGGGCCGGTGTGGGGTTCACACGGATGGCCTGTGAACCGGTAAATCACTGTTCTCAAGATGGGAGAATAAATTGCCGATCGGGTTGACTGCTAGTTCGCCCTACCACCGTGATCAACCCCCCGGTGCCGATGACATTCAATGCATAAGCCAATTTTTCACCGAACCAACGGTAACCGCAGGTGAGTACTTTTGAGTGTTCAGGAGGGTCTGTTCCCAGTGGGAACAAGGGGCTAGGGGCCCTCGAACAGAACTCACAATGGGACTTGAATTTGGTGAACCTGGAAGTCCTCTGAAATGCCCACCACAGTTCACAAAAGGTCAGCCACAATAGACTCGGAAATTGGATGAGTTGGATTACTGCCATCTTTTGGGGCATGAAGACTGTGCTAATTCTCCCCTCTGAACTAGACAAAAGTCCAACTAAAAAGGACTTCCTACAGGTCAAAATCGAATTTAAGGGGTTTTGGACGATTTGGCGATAAGAATAATATTTACTCTGGCACCAACTAACAGACATCGTAAGGACCGAAATGAACATGACGCGGACGCAATCCCCGGTACTCGAGAGAAGCACTACCTGAAATGGTACATCAACCGTCGTCAGGCAGTCACAACGCGAACCCTAGGCGGGATGGTCTGAGATTTGAACGGCGGTCAACCAGACCAAATGTTCGGCAGGCCGCTCTGGGAAATATTTAGTCACGTTCGCCGATGGATTCTGATTGAAAACTTTCCGTTTTGACTCCCAACCGTGGTCCGGAACCCTCGCGGACGACGGTATGACAAAGAGTGATGAATATTACCAACCGAGGGGAACTAAAAGTATCATGTATAGTTAATTGACCGTCGTCAGTCAGCTAGCACTCCAGATCGGGGCTTCAAGATGGAAAAGGCGACATATTCCGTTCTGCCTTCAGACTACATCAGCTGGAGCCACTCCCACGTTAGATTTGGGGATCTTGGAGCGAGCATTGCTTGTGACGGTATTCTTGCTATACCTCAAAGCATGCGATATTCATTGAGTGGACATCATATGTTCTTGTTTGGTCTTCGAAAAAATACGCACTGAAGCGAAAGTTTAAGGATGATAAATAATAAGGCAAGACGTACATTCGACTTCAGAGTTCAGCTCTGCACCGAGTGTGAGAGCCATGCTGAACTTAATAAGAAAATCGCAGGCAACGGTAAGTTTTATGGCCGGGTTTAATTAATCCAGTGCTAAAAGAAAATAATTGGCGATAGTTATTTGTACATGCCAGAGAAAAAAAAAGATAAAAAGACCTCACGGTGGCTGTTTCATGCGGGTGGTCAAAGCGCGACAGTGCAATACCGTTTGAAAATCTATGAAAAGGGGCATTAGATTCATTTAATATTATCATTAAATGGCAAAACCAGTGTCGCCTTATAATTGGTGACAATATGAAGGATCAGAATTTGTGATACTAAAAGATTCTTAGATGTCCAGCTCTTGTGATTAACACAAATGTTCGCTGTAGAAAGTAACCCCTCCCCATAAACCGCACCCATGCCAAATCACATTTAAGCATTTTTAAATCACTCTTTGGACGTCTTTATTTTTGAAAAGGTTATTGAACTACAATGTGGATGACATCAAATACCATTAACTAAATTCAGTAAGGTAGACTGAATAAAAACAACTATCTCCGATTGCAATGCTTGCATGAAAATTCGTACTCGACTTTTCAAACCCGTTAGCAAACTGTAGAATTCAGTCACTCGACCAACTCAATAAAGGGGCGTTACTTGAATTGGCTGCTCTCAGTCAAGCTTCCGGAATGCTGAACATCTAAATCATTCAAAGTCGTTTCGGAAAAACACCAGGATGCTCGTACGCAGTCTTGTTTTTTTTTGCTGTGCATTTGAATCGACCAATTTCAGCTAACGCCGCTGCCTTTAATCTGCTCAGCATGCATCACTATATAGTTTTCCTGCGCCAGCTTTTCGAGATAGAAAATGAAGCTGTTGCCTTTTTCCGCTGTACAGGGAAATGTTGAATCGGACTCGACACATCCTCTGTCGCAGATGGCAGGAGATAGAGACTGTGAACTGACCCCGTGGACCCCGGACTGGACAATCAGGACATCCCGGGGCCGAAAACGAATTTATTTCCTGGTTGATGTCAAGTAGAATGTCAGAATGCCAGTCTGTAGCAGCGGTACAGATGCGGTCCTTTTCCAGTGGCAGTATGAGGACGGTTATTGGGCAGACCTTCTCAGTCCTGCCGCATTAGATGCGGGTTGCAGACCTGCCATCTAAAACAACCGGGGAAGGCTGTTAGCTTCCACTGCGAATTCATCAGGGTCTGAAATGTAGCATGGTGGCCAACTACATTCGACACAACTGATTTTCTTGCAATTGTTATGGACAGGATGTCCATTGCGGGGGTCGCCGGGGTGGTGATAATACCAGTCGGTAGATTTTAATTGCACCCAACGTAACTGCTGATAATTCGACTCCGACTTTCGCATGTGTCCGATTGTATCTATAAGCTATCTCTAGATTTTTTAAATAAAACATCTGGCATATGTGAACTATACCCATCACGTGACACCACACCACACTAATCAGCCAGTTCTGGTTTTTTGTTCTTATTCTGCCGCCGCTCCATAATGGTCCGCGTCATACTACTCTTGTTACTATTGTTATTATTACAACCATTATCACCCGATATTACTGTCGCTACTTCTGCCATGAATCTCTAAGCACGTGCTTGAGGCCATTTTCAGCACACATTCAAGCGTACTCTTCACAAGAAGTTAGGATGCATGGCTTGGCGAGGACGAGCTTAAAACCTGTCTCCTCGCTCCGACTCAACCTTCTAGTTTGTTTAAAAGAGCAAACAACCTCTAAAGTCCAAAAAGATAAATAGTTACCAGAAAATGTGCGCCCTCGGCAGAGTAAATGAATGATGTCTCCTGCTGTACACCGTTGGCACGGGCTAGGATGACTGAAACATTTCACTTATGACAGTTACTGCTTCTAACTTCCCCGGCCGAACACATTAAGTGGTTTAAGTCCTTTAGCCATTTTTTAAATAGTTATGAACGAGTTACCATCCTCCTGTGTAGTTTTCATAGCGCCGGAAGCCGTTTGTGCACTTTTCAAGATTTTTCGACAATTTTTTAAAAAACAGCACATTTTTGTGAGTTTTGCAATTTAAGTCAACTTCCTCACAAAGCACTTTTCTCTAGGTTTGCAAAAACTGACATTTTGAAAAAAACAGCAGATCACTGCGATCTGGAAACACCTGTTGCGTACTGCTAAAAAGAAGAGAATTGCAAAAGTGAAATAATGTCAGTTATGCGAAACGATGCTTGCTCCATTTTTAAGAATTTCGACTTCTAATCTGCATTGGCCCGTTATAATACCTCAGCTGTGAGCTGACCGCATAGATCAGTCATTAGGACGATTTAGATACGCTACTGCATAACGTAATATCCAGTATTTCAGTTTCATTGGTTAAAAATGCCGCAGAACTGTATGATATTTACTTTCCACAAAACTATCGCATTATACATGCTGTCCTTCATGCGCTGCAGGGAAATTTAATCAGTAAATTTTATTGACAAACACAATATGGAGACTAAGAAAGCTGAAAATATACAGGAAAATACGTAGTAGTAGGTACAGTAGGTGTGATAACTCATGAAATGTTAACCGAAAATCTGAAATGCGTTTTTCTTTCAGAAGGATTACTTAAGAAGGGTTTCAAAATTAATCATCCTGCAGTACAATTCTATAATAATTTGCTTTCCTGGGGATGCTGGCTTTCAAGTAGACATCTTTACGGCCGCATGCAAAGACCATACTCTGCAAAAATGGCTACTTAAGTATCATGGATTTTACCCATTGATTTTCGATGCCCTTCAAAATTCAATTATATTCCATGGAAAATATACATAAAAATACTCATTATCTTAAACACTCGGTAGAAAATTACGTCTGCTTTTAATTTTATACTCAAAGGAGTGGTATAATTCGGTCTTCAAAAACTTTTCCAATTCCCGAATAATTTTGAACCCCACCTGCTGTTACACTTGAGTTTAGGGTTTACAAACTTCAAACCACATATTATCTGAGTACGGAAAACCATGCGTTTCTCTGCGGTATTAAGAGGAGATTATATGGGGT